AATTTTTAGCGAGACGCAAATTTAGAGATTTGTCCCTAAAAACTGGTAATTTATTTTTAGCGAGATGTTATTTAAGCGATTTTTAAATGCACACTAAAGAAGCCTTTACTAATAAAACGCGAATTAATTTTTAGCGATATTCAATTTCAGCGATCTCGGAAAGCTCGCTAAAAATGCCAAAATTAAATCCTCACTAAAATTTCTACTTGTACGGTATATTATTTACTTTGTTATTTACAGATTCAGATGATGACAGTAATGATAATGACAGCGCAGATGATGAAAGTAGAGATGGAAATGATGAAGGCTCAAGCATTATGCCAGCCTCAAAAAGGAGAAGAACCATGAGTAAAATTTTCAGCTGCCCTGAAGAAGGATGTAGCAGAAAATTTAAGAATTCAAAATCTCTTGATAAGCATATTATGACAGGAAACTGTAATATCAAAGAAGAAAAACTTAGTCTCCCTGATAGGTCAAAGATATTATACTCAGAAAAATTGGAAGGAAGAACAGAGATCCTATTCACAAAGCAGTCAACCAAAACAACCAACACTGAAAACAGTAAACTCAAAAAAGGATGGGCTTTGAAAGTTCATAAAGCAAAAACTGTTTTCACAGAAGACCAAAAGTGTTACCTGCAAGAAAAATTTAACACTGGTAAATCAACTGGTAGAAAAGAAGATCCGTCTAAAGTAGCTGAAGAAATGAGATATGTTAAGAGAAATGGTGTAAATAGGTTCCCTCGATCTCAGTTTCTTACCTCACAGCAAATAGCCAGTTTCTTCTCTAGACTTGCACAAAAAGATAAAAGATTGAACGAGGAAGATTTAGAAGCTGCTGATGTAGACAGTAAGCGTGCTAAACTGAAACAGGACATATTAGAAAAATGTACCTATGTTTAGAAAATTAAGGGACCATGTACATTCCTATATTAAGCTTTTATTTCTGTAGGTCTGAAAGATTGTGAGGTGACATTTTTTTCCTCCATCATATATTATGTGTTTATTGGTTTAAGGCTCAATAATTACAAGGTTCTAATAAATTTGAAAATGGATCACATCTTTCGTTTATCGATCTAGGCAATCTGTATGGTAATAGGGAATTAGAATGCTATTCAATCAAAATAAATATGCTCGTTTTTTAAGATCATCTTCTGAAAAAAGATTGTAAATTTCATGTAACAATGGATCCAGCTTTCAGACCCAAGAGGGCAAAAAAAAAAGGCCTGAAAAGGATTGTTGTACACAAATTGGTTAATTTGTTAGTTTTTCAGAAGTCTGAGGGGGCATTTTGAGTGAGTGTTTATATTTCTCTTACTTTATATATGAATAAAATATGTATTTATTTAAAGGATCATACTGCATAAAAATTACAAGGAAACAAAGATACCTCGGATGGATAATGAATCTGAATTCAATCCTTGGTCAATTCAATGCAAAATTAACATTTATGTAGATCATATTTACTCGTGTAGAATTGGACAGTCAGACAGACAAAGTACATCCCAATGTATCTAAAGGCTTATGGAAATGAAATATAAATATTTTCACATGATACATATCTAACTATAGACACTACATTTACTATTGATGACTTAAAAACAGGTATAATGGACACATTTCTGTTCTGTAATATATGCACAAATGTTCATCAAAATATGTACATTTTGTAGATTTTGGGTAAATTTCATCCACTTTTTAAAAAAAAAAAAATTTAGTCTCCCATAAATGTTTTTATGTAGTTAGACTAACTTATATTTACTCTCTATAATATACTGTTTCATAAATTTCAAATCAGTGTGCAAAGGTTAAAAAAATCACTTTGAAAAGAGGTCTAAAATGTAAATTTTCTTATTTTGGCAAAATGCCAAAATCCCCAAAGAGAAGAGTTATTTAGTCATTATATAGAATTACAGTTCTTAGGATTTTTTTATGTAAAACTAAAGGGGAATAATAGTAGTTTTAATAAAATAATAGGTTTTTTCATTCTCTTGTTTCTTATAAGTTTTGCTATGTTCAGTAAAACCTATAAAATCAGGATTTTTGGGTCTTATTTTAGGTCGAATATACAGGGAAAAGATATGTGCCGTTACCATAGCAACGAAACATTTTTTAAAATAAAAAAATATAAAATCATTAATGATGTGACAGTATGATTGCACACAAAAAGTTTTATTGAAATTGAAAGTGTAGTGTGGCCAAACATTTTTGACATTGTTTGATAATTACAGAGAATTGATATTAAAACCCTACATTTATTCAGTGGAGAAGTTGTGGAAAACTTTCAATATAAAATCAATAAAAATCATTAACAATAAAAGATCTTCATAAAATTTTCAGGGTAAAGGTTTTCAAAGGTCTGTGAAAACCCCACCTTTAAAAATATCACTATTATTATATGCAATTTTATTAGTGTCATGTTTGTAAAGGATTTATTCAAAATAGATTTGATTTTACTTTCTTATTCTTGATATATGTAAAAGTTTTGATAATTGAAGGATGTTTGTAGCTTTCATAACTTGTACCGGTAGTTACATGTATCCTATTCATCTTTTCCAAAACAAACAAAGAAGAAATACCAGCAAGAACGACATGTTTTGTTTGTTTGTATGTTGATTAACGTCCCACTCAAGGATTTTTCACTCATATGGAGAGCTGCAAATTTTTTCCTATACTCGGCACTCAGGGCCATTGAGCATGGAGGGTTTTTTTTCATGCCAGCACCTACTGCGACACGAGACCTCGGTTTATACGGTCTCATCCAAGGGACCGGTCTCCATGTCCCACAGTGGGATTCAAAATCCCGGCTTAAGGATAAACTCCTTACTCCACAACTCTAAAGAAACGCTCTACCACTGCCCCTTTGTGGGATACATCATCAGGGATTTTCCACACCATTTTGGGAATGGGGCCCAGGCCCTTACAATTGGGAATTTAATGACATTTTATCACCTTTTGGGAATTTTTTATTGCTCGAGTTTTTTCAAGAAATAAACACTTATAATGAATAAAATTGATTTTTACTTCATTATTCAGAACTATAATTCAGAGTATAGATTAATTATTATGAAGTTTCCTCAAATTTTGTTCATTTCATTTAGATTTCAAACCTGACCATGTTTGTTTTACATGAATTTCGATCAAGTTAACTTTGTGGAGTTTTTGTCTGTTCACTTTTGGGAAAAAATGGAAGGAATTTGCAATTGGGAATGGGGCCCATATTCGGCCCTACACGGGGTAGTGGAAAATCCTTGTGACACAATGTTAGTAATTTTTATCTTTGATAACAAAATAGATCTTTCATCATTAGATATCTATTCTAAGAACATTCTATGGTCTTTATTATGATTTTAGATCAGGAATATCTTTGTAAAAGGTAAATTGTGCATGGTGTAAGGTACGTTGCTTTTAATCGAATTTGCTTGGTGGCAAAGCAGATTTTTAATTATTACATTTTGAAAGAGAATTCCTAAGCATACGAGGAAAAAAAAAGACAATCTCTTTGAATATTGGAATCTCATTGAAGTAGGTTTTTAATCTATTTATGACCTACATACAGGTGCAAATGTGGAAAGTGTTCTATATTGATTACAGGTTCTTCATGGATGTGCCTACAGGTAGATTATCTATTAAACTGCTTACGAAGAGTCAAACCTGAAATATCACTAAAAACATCTACCATGTCAGGTGTAAACTTGTCTGTGAAAGACTGTTGGATTGCATGTCTAGAACTACACACATATATATGTCTGCCAGCCACAGCATTAATTATATCGTGCAGCTTTGCAGAATGTATCATACATTTTAAACATTTTTTTCCACTTTTTGCAAGTCACTGACACAGTGACACTGTACATGTATGCATTCTATATTGATTTAGGGTTATCCTGTTCAACACAATTTAATGATTGCCATGATTACATGCTGTGCATTTTACTTCTCTTTTTTTGTATTGCTCATACACAGAAAGACATGTAACAGGAAGTATATTTATATATGCATTAGTTTTAATCTATCTAACAAAAACTAAAAAACCCTAAGAAGAACCGATATTTGCTAAATACACAACTGTAGCTCTAGCAATACTAAAAATATTTTTTATATAATTTATCAATAAAAAAAAATTGCATGCAACATGTAAAGTCCGACTCCTACCTTTTTTTTTACATGGCAGACACAAGTTAATTCACAGGAAATATATTTTACAAAGCAATTCCTCATGTAAAGTTTATAAAATCAAATAGGCTAAGCTGCATTAATTCATCATAACTTTAACGTTTAACATGTTTAAGTCACTAGCACCTAATACTACATGTATATAGCAACATTTCCAATATACATCTATTTTAAAACTGACTACTTCAATTTAGTCCCTGCATGGGCATGCTAAAGAACTTTGTCTGGAATATATTTAAACATGTTCAGTATGAATTGTTACATTGTTACAATATCATTAAAAAAATATCTTCACAAACTGCTCAAAAGCAAATTAAATACACCATAGATCTATCATCAAATATTTAAAAACTTACCAGACATTCCAAAATTCCCTTCACACTCATATATCTACACTGAAGGGTCATTTAGGAGGTGACAACACATATGGGAGAATTTAAAGGTATCTCACTGACAATTTTTTGTTGTAGTGGCCCCAACAACCCAGTACTTGGGAATTTTATTGGGGGGTATATTTGTCAACATCTTGAATTACATTTAAAAGACAAACAGAGGAATGTCATCTTTTGTACAGGACATCGCAATTTACAACCGTTTTATGCTGGAAGAGCACCCCATTATGTACACATCTACATATGTATACAACTTCATTTACAGTCATTTAAAGCTGTCGTTAAAATACACCAACAAGCTCCAAACATCAATAAAATTTTTCAATGAATAAGAAACACACCAAACTGTGATACAATTCATGCATACAGGAAAAAAAAGTTTGATGAGCATGCAATACTTTTTGTTCAATAATTCAATAAAGAAAAAACCTACCATGACAGATGTGGACTTGGTAACACGGTATTGTCTGAATTCTCGAGGGCCCCTCAATCAGATATCTGGGTTGCGACGTGCCTTCCCTTGTCATCTATACTTAAGGACAACTGAAATATAATTAGGTGTTAGCAACTCGATATAGACTATTCATAAATTCTCAAAAGCCCTCTTACGCTAAATATTAGGAATAACTCTTTGCCAAATTAGTTTCTGTGCTCGAACGAATCTATGAGCCTTGTAGATCTGATAGCACTGGAAAACACACGGCTGGCCAAAATATTTAGAATAAACATTATCATTTCCCGTAATAATAGGAATTAATAAAATGTGCCGCTAAGGCATTGCCCATTTAAATTTTTGTCAAAGAAGTCTTTGGTCGAACTGTAAGGCTTATCTCAGGACTAAGTAAATTAAGGCTTACTGCCTCTGTATGTTAACAAACTGTTATACACTGGTTAAGTAATATTACAGTGGTCAGTAGGTGGAATATCTATATGGCACTTAAGTCCACTTCAAATCAATACACTCGGTCAACTTTTAAACTGATAAACACATCACAAAACACAATGAATAAGTGACTTAATAATTATCAACTGTGTTATTAGATTTATTACTTATCAGCAAGACATCAGAACTTCATTTTGAATGGTCAAATGGTCAAGTAAATTATGTTTCATAAATATAATACTAGAATGCAAATAAATTTTCAATCAAGAAAAAAAATGAGATGAAGAAAAGTTTTATTTTGAACAGTGTTGAATCTAAGCATGTTAAGGATAAAATTAAATAGGATGAAAAAAAAAACTCACCTGCTATTTTTGATTTTATAAACTGATTCATCTGCTTATTACGTTTCAGTCATTGAATTAGAAAGTACTGTGTATTCATATCTGCAACATGTGCAAGGTGTATTTTGTGCATAGAATAAATGATCTGAATTTTAAATCCTTTTGTCAAGATTTGGGCAATATTTTTATATAAAGTTAACCCAAATTTGTTTCACTTAGACATATATAAAAAAATATAAGTTTTAATGGCCCATATAATTTTGAGGTTGCATGCTTATATATAAACTAAGTCAACTAGTAGTAAAAAAAAACCCAAGAGACATTAATGTTATATTTTTATGCCCCCTTATTTGAGTATTCCGTCCGTGAATGAAATTATGAAGAAGCTTCAAGATTCTACATAAAGATAAAGAACAATTATATAACATTCTATCTAGCCAACTAATAGTTGAAAATATACAATTCTTAAACCAATCTTTCACTGCGAAATTAAATAAAGTCAGCAAAAAAACCCTTTAAAATAAAATACTGAACAAGTGTACCAGGTAATTCAATCATATTACATTACTTTAGAAAAATTAGTTTTATATACATGTATTTTAAAAGTCACCAAAGTACAATTAAGAGCTCTCAATTACCCAAAAGCAAAGAGAGGATTGGTCATTTTGCCTGTACTTGGTGAGTTTCCGTTGTACCTATTAACTAATGGTATTAAAATCATGCACTGTTCAAATGAGTTTTAATTCCTAATGAGCTAAGTTTACCATGTTTACAGCCCTATAAACATTATAAGATTAATCTTCTTCAGCAGTGCAAATGCTTGTCCACTACTCCATATGCATATTACTATTGGTATTACGGAAGCAGAAAAAAAGAGATAGCATGAAGCGATTTGGTGATCAAGATCAAATACCTGATTGTCATTCACTCATTTGCTGATGAAATCGACAGTAGTAAAGGAATTTGGAAAAAATAATCAGAACTGAATTGGAAATTAAAAAAACAATATGACCAGCCTTTACATACAATCATTCAAAAGTTCTATGGTTGATACAATGACCTTGTCAGCAAATACAATTCATCATTGACTCAAATGCTGACTGACGTTTTTCATACTAATTGTTAGTCCATTATTTATACACTGAATTGATGACTGATTTTTCCGTTATTTCCCAATCATGACGATGAGCACACGGCAGATGTGACCGGTTGGTAGGTGATGCTCACTCCTCCATTATACCTGATCCCAACTCTGAAGTTTTGCAAGGTCCGTGTTTGTTTTATGCACTCTTGACCTTGAATACTGTTCATTATCTCCATATGTTTCATACAGAATTTAATTGGCCATTAAGTGTCTGTTAAGTGTTCAATTTCTACCCATTTGGGCAGATAACTTTTACTGGCAATTTTGAATATTTATCAGCAAACGGCCAATGGCAATCTAAAACCTTGCAATATATTGTCCGTTAAAGTGTAGACTATCGCCAATTTGACATTTAAATGATTTCCCAATCTAATTAAAATTAGATGTTCTGAATCTGCTACAGCTTCTCAAACATCTAACAACATCTCATTTGGGGTCACGTCAGAGCGACCTTTCGTTTAGCCAATGAAAACATTGCCTCAGAAATCTTGGCTTACACTGAATACAGGGAAATTTTCACCCCCATTTTATTTTTGCCCTTTTCGCCCTAGTCTCATTTGGGTGAATTTAAAACAGGGCGAATTCATATAATACAGTATAATTACTTAAATAAAACTTTGACAGGACAAATTTAAAATGGGGCAAAATTGTCCGCAAATGTGAAAGGGCAAAAATAAAATGGGGTGAAAATAACCCTGTATACAGTAGTTTGAATGGGTTTCCTCTGTTCACTGCTGAATCTAAACGTCCGAGGAGTTTCTTAGTAAAACAAAATATGCATTGCAAAAGCTGTGCTATGTATGAATGTGACGTGCGGGATATCTTGTATAGTTTGTGCTTTTTAGTTTTTGTTATTCCCCTAAATATGCCAGACTTGCGGACTATACATTTAATTAATACCATTTAGATGTTCTTAGATGTTTGAGTAGCGGTAGCAGATTCGGAACATATAAGTTTAATTAGATTGAATGATTTCCAGGATCAAAACATGAAGGTTTGGGAAAAGAAGTGGATGTAGGCAAAACTCTGTCCAACTCTTTAAACAGGTTAGACACAGTTCCTTTTTCATGGAAGTATTACTATAAAACAGGATTGTTCCTCTTTTCAGTAATAAAAATATTACTGTTTATGGGAATTTTCACTCGTTTACTCAGGGGATGAGGCAAACTTTTTTCAACATCATATACTTCTTTCAGTATCAAATTTTCTTCACACAACTACTGCATTACCCTTATATCTATGGCATGCCAAATTCACAAAAAATGAGCTAAACCTAGTTTCACAATTGATAAACTAGGTTTATCGACTGTAAACTATAGTTTACAAACCGTGAACTATAGTTAACGATTCGTTAACTATAGTTTTCATCTGTAAAACTATATTTAACGGTTGTTAACTATAGTTTACGATTGCTAATCTAAGTTTATCTGTCTGTAATAAAACGTTAACACTTAACAATAGATTTTGTTGATAAACATAGATTCACGTTTGTAAACTATAATTTACAATCGTAAACTATAGTTAAGAGTTGTTAATCATAGTTTCACAAATCGAAACTATATTTATCAGTTAACAGTTAACTATAGTTAAGAGTTGTAAACTATAGTTTACAAATCGTGAAACTGTATTTATCAGATAATCTATGTTTTGCAATCGCAAATGATTGTTTTCGATGTTAAGTATAGTTTATGGTTGTGAAACATAGATTATCGCGTTAACTATGGTTTACAGATGTAAAATATAGATTAATGTCGTTAACTATAGTTAACAGTCTTTGAACTATAGTTTACAACCGATAAACCTAGTTTATCTACTGTGAAACTATGATTATCTCATTTTTGTGAATTTGGCGTGCTAAACCTAGTTTCACAATTGATAAACTAGGTTTGTCGACTGTAAACTATAGTTTACAAATCGTGAACTATAGTTTACAATTCGTTAACTATAGTTTTCATCTGTAAAACTATATTTAACAGTTGTAAACTATAGTTTACGAATGATAATCTAAGTTTATCTGTCTGTAATAAAACGTTAACAATAGATTTTGTTGATAAACGTAGATTCACGTCTGTAAACTATAATTTACGATCGTTAACTATATTAAAGAGTTGTAAACCATAGTTTACAAATCGTGAAACTGTATTTATCAGATAATTTATGTTTTGCAATCGCAAATGACTGTTTTCGGTGTTAAGTATAGTTTACGGTTGTGAAACATAGATTATCGCGTTAACTATGGTTTACAGATGTAAAATATAGATTAACCTTGTTAACTATAGTTTACAGTCTGTAAACTATAGTTTACAACCGATAAACCTAGTTTATCGATTGTGAAACTATGATTAGCTCATTTTTGTGAATTTGGCGTGCCATATATCACTTTACTTTAGCCAAAAGTAGGGGGACCAGCTTTTCAATAAACATTTCAATAGTAAAAGTTATGTTTGAAAAAAAGGTGGGGGGGGGGTCTGTTTCGCCTTATCTGATTGGTTAATTGTAATACAGTTTAAATATCTAACCAATCAGATAAGGCAAAACAGAAGTGCGACTCCAAAACCTCCTCCAAAGCTGCCAATGGAGGAAATTTTATGTATCCGATTAATAAATCGTCCGATTATGGCATATCAAATGCTAATAGAGGGGTTTAGGTTAAAGAGACTAGTAAAACAACATCTCCCAGACAGAGTGCTTGCAAAATTATGATAGGTAACACTAATTATTACCTTGGTAATCTGTCTCGAAGCAGGGGTCCCCCCGTTTGTTTACAACTTTTGTTTCTTACCTTGTGTATTTTTATTATACCGAATAGGGCCATTCTTTAAACGTGAGAAAAAGTACAATCTGCTTGCATATAACCATATATAGAAGTGTTTGACGGGTAAATTTTACATTTTTGAGATATTATACAGTCTTACATTTTTTTTTCATTAAAAAAGGGGGGGGGGGGTATTATCCATACTTCAGGTGCCTGTGGTACAATATGGATTAAAAAATAAACATATGATCACTTACTGCATGACTGTGTGAAAATATCATCCAATGTAAAATACATATTAAATAAACGGCTTTTAAAAATCAAAATAATGAATTAATCAGATGTACCATGCCTTGTGCAATAGGAAACAGTCTTTGCCGACTAAAAGTAGGATGGATGACGGTAAAGTCCTCGTGTTCCGGATAAGTCAAAGAATTAAACTGCCATGGGGAATAGAGAATCCAAATAAGAAAAAAAATCCATAAATTTTAATATTGTTCAAAGTAATCACTTAAAAATCGATTTGATGATCTCATTATTAAGTTTTTTTTTTAAATAAGTACAGGAAAAGTGAGGGAACATTAAACCTCATTCGTTTGTTTGTCCGTCAGTCTGCAAGTCTGTCAGCCTATCACAAAAACTTTAACCATAGTCATATCTTTTGAATGGGAAGAGAGACTGAGAGAGAACTTTCATATTAAACATGTGTAACTACTTGTGACAAGACCTTTCCAAATACACTATTATTTTTGTCACCGTGACCTTGACCTATTTTTCAAAAATGTTATGATTTACAAAAGTGGTAGGTATGGCACGCCAAATTCACAAAAATGAGCTAAACCTAGTTTCACAATTGATAAACAAGGTTTATCGACTGTAAATTATAGTTTACAAACCGTGAACTACAGTTAACGATTCGTTAACTGTAGTTTTCATCTGTAAAACTATATATTTGACGGTTGTTAACTATGGTTTACGAATGCTAATATATGTTGTCTGTAATAAAGCGTTAACTGAATAGATTTTGTTGATAAACATAGATTCACGTTTGTAAACTATAATTTACAATCGTAAACTATAGTTAAGAGTTGTTAATCATAGTTTAACAAATCGAAACTGTATTTATCAGTTAACAGTTAACTATATAGTTAAGAGTTGTATAAACCATAGGTTACAAATCATGAAACTGTATTTATGAGATAATCTATGTTTTGCAATCGCAAATGATTGTTTTCAGTGTTAAGTATAGTTTACGGTTGTGAAACATAGATTATCGCGTTAACTATGGTTTACGGATGTAAAATATAGATTAACCTTGTTAACTATAGTTTACAACCGATAAACCTAGTTTATCGATTATGAAACTATGATTAGCTCATTTTTGTGAATTTGGCGTGCCAAAGATAGGGCTTGCACATTTGACATACATGCACATGTGCATTACCCGTGGCAAGATATTTCCGAGCATGCTTTGCTTCCTGACCCCTTGACCTTGAACTTCATGTTAGACCTAATTAAAAAAAATGATAGGGCCTTCATTTTTTTTGACATAATTAATGACAACTCACCCACAAAGACACCTAGAACGGGGGACCACATTTTTTTTTTTTTTTTTTTTTTTTTTTTTTTAAATTCTTTGAATTACAAAGTTTGCTTTAAAAAATATAGGTATTTCATTAAATCCAATGTAGGATTAGGATTATCAAAACACTAAAAATCATCAAAATTTGTTTCTTCCCTAGAAAATAAAATATGTATAACTAACTGTTGGGGATTACATCCAAATTTCTCCAAAATATATCAAATTAGCCTTACAAAGGTTGTGTTGTTACATGTATTGTCAGCTTGAAGTAGATACTGATCTTGTAATGAGAACAGGGTACATTTAGTTTGCCCTGCATTTTTATAAAATGTGGAAGTAATGTTAGAAATTAAAATTCACCCTTTATGAATATTCATATTGAAATTAAATGCAGTAAAAACCTACAAATCGTATTCTTATATGCCCCCTTATAGTCTGGTCCTGATTTTAAAAAAAGAAGGCTAGAAATAACTTCTAACGGCAAATAATTATTATTTGGTCCAGCATAGTTTTTTAACCTAATTCGAGTATGCTGAATCCGAAAAAATATGCTGGCCTTCATGAAAATGGCGTTAAAGAGGACAAAATGGCGATTCAAAATGGCGGACATAAAATTTTTCTAATTTTCACTTAAGGTCAAGATCTAGTAAATGGAAGGTGCCTACAGATTTTTCAAATTTAACAAATTAATTCCTTTAATGATGCTTTATAACATAACCTTGGTCAAAATAAGTGTTTCGGGGCATAATTTGTAGAAAAACAGGATGAAAAACCATATTTTAAAGTGTCATTTTCAATGAAAAATTGAGAAAACCAGTATTGAAAATGGGAGTTTTTTCCATATCAGACAAAGAAAATGTATCCAGATTGCCTACAGTTTTTCAGAAAACGGTTATTTGTATGTTCTTAACTTTAAAATAATGTTAAATTGAGATAGGTATCGGGACAATTTCAAATTGAATTCCATGAAAATACTTTATTTTCTACAAAATACGTAAAGTACGGGAAAAAGAAATTTGAAAGTTATTATGACGTCATAATGGATTTAGCACTGAAAAGTTATTCTAAAGTCATTTACTAGATCTTGACCTTAATGTCGTTCAAAATGGAGAAATAGTGAGCGAATATCTCACTGAGTGTAATAAATCTAAAAAAAAATATAATAGAATTATAACATTATTAGTTTTTAGGGGGCAAAAAAATTAGATAAAGAAGCATATTGGCCAAAATGCTCACCTGAGCTAATTAGGAATAGATTGATGATATGTTGATCAATTATAGCTATATTTTAAGGTCAATGCGATGATTCAGAATCTAAAGAAGTAAAAGATTTATCGAGCCTAAAGGGTTAGGTAAACATTGTTTTTCAATGGTGGAAATCATCGTACTGACAGAAAAACTCAGCAGTATTATATATTATTATATCCTCTGTTTGAAAAGCGGGAGGTTATATAGTAATCGGGATGTCCGTCCGTCTGTTACGCTTTGGGGTATCCATCTCTTCTCCGCAACTCCTCTTATATATAAAAAGATGTGTTTGTGAAACAGCTATGCCCTTGTAACTGCAAAAACTGCAAAAAATGCAATTTAAAAATATTGCAACCCAAAGTAGGGTCTTCTCACAAGAAATACAATTGCAAAATAGGAAAGCCCTAGCACCACTTGTTCAAAAGTAATGGCTAAGGATAAGTTTTTGAAAGGTAGGTCAAACTCAAAGGTCAAAGGGTAAAAGTTGATGGTTTCTTAAGAAAGGTTTAATGTAACAAGGATTGCATATGTGAAGTACATGTATGGAAACCCTAGCCCTTACCGTTCAAAAGTTATGGCCAAGGTTAAAGTTTTTTTTTCATAAGTACGGAAATCTCCAAGGTCAAAAGGTCAAAGTTTTTAGTATCCAATGAAAGGTCATGCCAAAAAAAAAAAAATACATATGTGGAGTATGAGAGTACTATAGTATCTACTGTTTAAAATTCATGGCCAAAGTAAAAATTTGACATTTTTGTGTAAAATGGGACAAACTCCAAGGTAAAGGTCAAAATGTCAAATTTGGTGGTACCCAAAGTAAGGTCTTGTCACAAGGACACATATTAAATATGAAAGTCATAGCTCCAATAAATGAAAAGTTATGCTCAATGTTAAAGTTTTTGCGGACAAACAGACCGCCAGATAGACAGACAGCCATACAGACGGACACGATAAAACTATATACCCCCCGAATCTTCGATTACGGGGACATAAAAAGAAATGGTCTTCAATTACCATTTCATATTATGATACAGAATAAAAAAGACGTTACAAAAATGAAAATGTTTGTTCTGATTTTCATATTAAATTCTCTGAAAATAATACTCAGAACTGAGTTAAAGGGTGGAGTAAAACAAGAATTAAGAAATGTAATGAATACTGTGTGGTAAATCAAAAGATTATTTCTACATGTATAGTTTTTGCATTAGAATGTATATTTTACACTAGCCCATCATATAGTGATAGTCTGCATATGTATAGGATGGAACATACTTATTTGTACGCACCGATATTAATTCGTCTGCTGCAAATTTCTACTTTTCCCAACAAATATTTTTTTCTGAAAAAAAAAGTATCAATGGAGTCAGTAAAGAAAAAAAAATATATTCATGATTTCATCTCCAGCGTGCATTTGATCCATTTACATGTACATTCTTTGAATTCCTAGGTTTGCTCCTTTAACAGAGAAATGAAAATTAATTGATTGATTGTTAAAACTGATTTGTCAATATTTCGGCAGAGAGAAATGAGGAACTTTATTACCCATACGTGCTAAGAAGAACAAAGATCAAATCTATTCGAACAAATGCATGAATTATTCAAAGGAAGAACAATTATAATATACGGCATATTTATGCACCCGAATCGATAGATCCGAAGCGTATATTGTTTTGTCCTGTCTGTTTGTGTGTTTGTCTGTTTGTCTCTTTGTCTGTTGAAAACTTTAACCTTCGGCATAACTTTTGAACCTTGAGATGTAGACTTCGTATCTGGTATACATACTCCACTAATAAAGTTCTTTCATAAGACACCAAGGTCAATGACCTTGTGACCTTGACTGTGACCTACATGCTAAAAATAGCTTTTTCAAACTTTTGCCTTAACTTTCAAAGCATAGGAGATACAGATTTCGTATTTGGTATGCATATTTAACTAATAAAGCTCATACAAATGACACCAAAGTCATTGACCTTGTGACCTTGACTGTGACCTTAATGCTAAAAATAGCTATCTTCGATCTTTTGCCATAATTTTTGAATCATAGGAGATAGAGACTTTATATTTGGTATGCATACTCCACTACTAAATTTCTTTCAAATAGCATTAATATCAATGACCTTGTGACCTCGACTGTGACCTATATGCTAAAAATAGTTTTTGTAATTTTGTCGCTGCCGGGTGCATAGTGTTTCACAAACACATCTTGTTTTCCCTTTCACCTGTTATAAATTTTGTATCACTTTAAAGGGGGTCATTTTTCAATGGGGTCAATTTTTTATAGGACTAACATATAAAATAATGACCCCTAGGACCTTTTTTCTACAAAAATTGATTTTTTCCTACGGGTGGGGGGTCATTATTTGTCGTTGAAAAATGACCCCCCGGTCTTTATTCGATGGGGGTCATTATTCGTCTTTACACCGGGTAAAGTGATCCCTTAGTGTCGTTCTGTTCCGCAGGAGACACAATGAGTAATTTTGATTTTTTTTCTGCAAAAAAAATGTGCCATATTTCCAGAATAATCATCCAGCATGCCATATTCTTAAATTATTTATCATATTCATCTACTCAACTAATATTAAAACAATTTCATAATTTTTTAAGAACATTTAAATCTTTAGGACACAATACAGACCAAACTGTACCTAAGTCTTTATTTTCACATGTTAAGGACTATATATAAAACAAATATGTTTTCATTTCCCTAATCCTTTTTTTCATTGATCTTTCAACAAAAGTAGAAATATTTCATGCATGTACACAAAGCATATAAGTGAATAATTATATTCCATGTTAGTGTTAGACGAGCTGACTTTTGATCCCAGTCGTGCATTTACAAAGTTTACAGAGAGAATACTGTACATAGTTAAAAAGTGAAACTGAGATCAAAAGTGAGTTTTTAGTTTGTATTATGTACACCAGTATTTAAAATCAAAATTTTGACACTGTCTCCTGCTGAAATCTGTGCTCGTCCGGATGTATACATGTACCTCTTAAACCATTCATATTGTTTTGGAGAGAATATATGAATGAATGGTTTTAAGGTCCCTGCGCATGGCGAACAAAAAGGGGATTGAATTACTGATCAATTCAAACGTATTTTTCTGGATCACTCAGCTCATGCAGAACTCTCAATACTTTGAATATACCATAATCACCTGCATACGGAGTTTATATATCTAAATTGATTCGATACGCAAGAGTATTCTCTACGCATGAACAATATCTAAAACAAGGTAAATTATTGACAAACAAGTTGATGAAACAAGAATTTCATCAGTCTCGTTTAAAGTCATAATTTCGTAAATTCTATGGTTGATACAATGACCTTGTCAGCAAATACAATTTATCATGAGTCAAATGCTGACTGGCGTTTTTCATACTAATTGTAAGTCCATTATTAATACACCGAATTGACAACGGATTTTTTCGTTATTTCCCGATATAATGACAAGGAGCACACGGCGGATATGACCGGTCGGCACTGGATGCTCACTCCTCCATGGCATCTGATCCCACCTCTGATGTTCCGTAGGTCCGTGTTTGCTCTGCTCCTATTTTGTATTGTTTTATGGAATTTTGATCTTGAATACTGTTCTTTATCTCCATATGTTTCATTTGATTAGTTGGTAATTGTCGAGATATCTGATTCAACTGACTCGAGTTTTAAGTAATTAAAAAAATTAAGTTTTGATGTATACAGTGACTAAAATAATTTTAAAAAAACACACAAAAAACTAAGATAATATATTAACATTTTTTTTTTAAAACGTGAATCAAAACTTGAACTAGTGCTAATTGTAACGGGAACCGTTACAGATGTTCCCCAAACGCTCCCCAACTCCCTTTTGGTGCCATATTTCCTGTAAGCTTCATTAAATAAGACAAACTCTGTGCATTTTTGCTTTTAACAACGTTTTCCCAAAAGGATACCAATTATATTCAAATTTTTGCATTGCACCCCAGCGCATGTGAATGCATGTGAGTTATGACCATATCATCTTGTCTACACTATCTATATATTTTAATATACTATATATTAAAGCATTCCGTCCAAAAGTAATAAAAATCACTCATTCAAGTGTATTTTTAATTATACTCGTTCTACATGCACGCACGTGCGTGCACGTGCATGATGACCATACCTTCTTGTAGGAGTCCCTTACATCGATCTATGTTCTAAATCCCATCCGGTTCGGTAGAAAAACAAGGGAGTTATAGCCATTTCAAGTTTCAGCCAATCAGATTGCAGCACACATGCATGTGCGTGATTTCATGATTTTTTTCTATACGATATTGTAGGTTATCCTAATGCATGACTATATTTTAAATTTCAAAGAATTTTGTCAAAAAACAAAGGATATATAGCCATTTAAAGTTTCAGCCAATCAGATTGCAGCACGCGCACATGCGCATGCTTTTATGAAAATTCTTTTATATCATGCTGTAGATCTTCATAATGTAGCACTATGTTCAAAATTTCAAAGGATTATGACAAGAAACAAGAAAGATATTGAGACTTTAGTTTCAGCCAATCAGAGCGAAGCGCACGTGCATGCGCGTGAGATCTTGCTATTTTGACCATGCTATCTTGTCTATACTTTTAATGTATCCTTACATTATGAGTTTCAAAAAATTTCATCAAAAAATAGAAAAGTTACGGCAATATCCATTATATTAGTCATTTCACGTGTTGCACGTGCACGCTCTTGCAAGCACGTGCACGCAAAATGACCTTGATTCCGCAAATCTACATAACATGTCTACTGACCCTAAAAAGGTTTTACCTACATCGGACGAACAGTTTATCACTCCCGGACAAAAAAGTACCCAGGAAGAAGAAGAAGAAAAATAATAATAATAAGAAACAGAGTAAAAACAATATGTTCCCCAACTTCGTTTGGGGAACATAATAATGTTGATATTCTGTCAAATTTCGAACCTACATTCGAGATCAAGAAATGATACTAACTATACACAGAAAGGAAGTGTCCCTCCAGATTTTGAAGTGAGCAATATATATACTCTTCAAAAAAAAAGAAACGCATAGTAGGAACAATGCCCTGAAAAATGTATGAAAGTTTTGTCATACCTTTTTTTTTGAATGAATACGGTGTATTCGAGTGAAATGCATGATTTTGTAATGAAATTGTAAACTTTACAGCTAATCTACAAGTCTCACAAACAAAAAGACCTGATTTTGCAAAATTTCCCCCAAAATTTTGATCTCAATTTTCATTTGTTAGATTCCGATGCAATTCCTTCAGGTACAAAGGGGCTATCAAAAGCGGGGGTTCTCGATATTTTGAATCTGGTTTTATCTGAAAAATGACGCTTCCTAAAAATGCTGCATCTGAATGTTGCGTAACACAAAAAGGAAAATGGGCGACTGGAAGCAGGGGTACCGCAATCTACAATTGCAAGAGGTTTAAATGTTACATACAGAACATATCTAACCTATAAAACATAAATCATTAACATCGAACACCCAATGTTCGCAAAAAATATGGTAGACTTCGTGTGACATCAGCAGCACAGCATCACTTCCGAGGATTACGTAAATTGCATGAATGTAATGCAAGGAAGTCATCTAAAGCATTAGCTATCCCTGAACTGCACAGATCATCTAACAAGACAGTTTTTAGTTGACTACGAATTATTGCAAGAGGATTATTCATGCCATTGTTCCGACCCCACAACACCCCAAATATCGACTTCAAAGATCTCAGATCAATAGAGTATGACCACAGCATCACTGCTGAACATTTTGGTCTACCTACTAGCCCAGAATGTTTATCTGAAAGCCTCTTATAAGTTTAGGGGTGCTAAATAAATGCTTTGTAATGAATGTTAGACAGATAACTGCCTCCAGGACGTTAAAAAAGTTGGTGGTGGTAGTGTAACGATATGGAAAACGGTATTATAAGAAAGTAAGATTGATTTGGTTCGAATTCAATGGACTTTGATGGAAAAAGGTACTCTAACCATGTTCTACCTACACATACCCATTCAAGTTTGCAGCATCCTAGAGCCGTATTGCAATCTCACAATACACAACCACATATGGCTCGTTTAACACACCTGTTCTTGCAAAGAAGCAACAACCTGTTTCACCCACAGTCATCTAAGTCGCTAGATTTAATCCAAATTAAGCAGCATTGGACAAAATGGATTGACATGATTTGCCAAAGACAATCGCATCTCCAGACTCTGCAACAGCTGACCAAAGTTCTACATTTGGAGTGGGAGAGTATTCCTATACAGTTTTTATAACACACATTTGCTTCCATTTGATGCCGTTTGTGGCTATCATTTGTGTCTGCGGGGGGCATACCAGATATTGATCTTTAATGGTCTTAAACTGACTATAATTTTAAAATTGCTGAGTAATTATAACATTTAGATAGTATTCCTGTTGCTTACAACATTTCTGTTTTATCAATGCATCATTTTACTAAATAATCTTTATGTTCAATGTGTCACTAAAATTCTACTATGCGTTTCTTTTTTTGAAGAGTATATATATATATATATATATATATATATATATATATATATATATATATATATATATATATATATATATATATATATATATATATATATATATATATATATATATATATATATATATATATATATATATATATATATATATATATATAGCAATTCCTATGATGTTGAAAGAAACATTTTTAATTAGCTGGAAAGTCTTTTTTCGTTATTAAGGAGAAAAGGAAATCTTGGCAATTTGAAAGTCGCATTATGTTTGTGACGTTTCCAAACTAATTAATTTTACTTGTATGAGTTCAAGACAATTGAAAGTGACATGTACTTATAGTTAATTATAAATGAATAATAACACTTGTTTAACTTCAAGATATAAGATTCTGGCCTTATTCGGTAACCTGTATAATCGGAATCATTACTGTTTATTTCAGAACAGAATAGTTAATATCGACATTCGACAAGCTATGCTTTAATTCCTTGAAATACGAGTAATTAAAAAAGTGGTTAAATAAAATTTGAATTAAAATTTATTAAAGTTAAAAAGTGTCATTTTTTGTAGAGAATATTTAATGACAGTGTGTTACAAATCAAAGATACTAGACCGCGTATATTGGTCAAAACAGAAGCATAAATAATATTTTAACCAAATTGACTATTGTGAGACAAGAATAAAGAGTCTACGATTTTGAATGGGAAAGGTGAGCTAAAATAAAAGTGTATTTCTGTTTAAAAGTTTAACACTCCAGCTCCGAGCTACAGAACATAATTAACCGAACAAGACTAATCACGAAAACGGTATAGTTTTTCAACAAATAACTCCCAATGATGCTCCTTTATTATTTACCTCTTCTTTTTGCCATAGTATCAACAGCTGAACTGACCACCCTCCTGAAAGGCCGGAATTTGACCAGTCTGGAAGAACGTCTGTCAAAGACAGAACAACGACTGAACGCCACAGAGCGAGTCCTGGGGCAGCTACTGACAGGGAGAAGTGATGTCGATCTCTCATCATTGGATGTACTTGTTCTCAGATCTGGTTAGAACAAAACAATTTTTTTTTTCTGAAAGGCACTTTATTAGAATTTGTTATACCTTTTAAATTGTCCCTTATAAACTTACATCTTTTAACAGTCTAACATTTCAACTGTTATGCTGGACGGTCAAAAAGTCGATGTATGTTTAACATATGGTTGAGATGTTGAATCTGTTGTTGGGGGACCGTGTAACACTTAACAATTCAAATTTCTAAAATGATTTAGAGTTTTAAAATGTTAACATATTAGTTCAAATATCTAAAATTCAAAAAAATCAAACTGATTTCGTATATTGAAATTTAATATTTTAGTTCAAAAACCTAACTTTTCAAATTTTTAAAAAGGTTTTAGAATTTTAATATTTTAGATTAAACCTAAAATATTCAAAATTCCAATTTCCAAAAACGATTTTTGTATTTTAAACGTTTGACTTTTTATTCTACCGTTTGATCAGAAAGTTTATGCTTAACAATTTAAAGTTAATTCAGTAACATTTGCCGTCTTTTAATTATTTAAAATTTACTTCAAACTTTTAAATTTCAACTTTTAAAACTTTTTTTAAATTTGGTATTTTGATTCAAACATTCAAATTTCAAATAACCAAAACACTTTGACTTTTAGATTTTTACTTGAAATACTGTATCCAAAATATCAAATTTCCAATCCCAATTTGATTTTTGAATATTAGTTCAATATTTTAACTATCTCAAAGCTCTTTTGCTTAACCAAATGAGTTTTTGATATAGTTTCAAAATTCAAACCAGGTTTGGAATTTGATATTTTGGATATTTGAAGTAAACTTCTAAAAACTCAAAAGGTAAAAAGTGTTTTGGCTATTTAAAAGTTGAGTATTTGAATCAAAATTCTAAATTTCTAAAAATCTAAAACGTTTGAAAGTTGGAAGTAAATTTCAAATAATCAAAAGACGAAAAATGTTATTAAATTTTAGATTGTTAAGCATAAACTTTCTGAAAAAATGGTAGATAAAAAACTAAAAGGAAATAATTTTCTTTAGAAAGCACAACTGTACTGGACGTTAAACTACAATTTGTCAATCAAAAACCACAGTTAAATTAGGACTAAACATTATTTTCATTATAAAAGTTAGCCAAGCAACAGGTTTCAATAGCCTTCTTACACTAATTTATCTCTAGCTACGAAACATTCACAACAGATAAGTCAAAACAAAAAAGTTATAACAAATAAGTCATAACAAGTAAGTCAATGTCCCTCCAGGGCTTTCGTACTGGAGGGACATTGACTAACTTGTTATGACTTATTTGTTATAACAAATTTTGTTTTGACTTATTTGTTTTGAGATTTTTTTTGTTACTTCTAACTAAGTGTAGGTAAGCTATTGAGAACGATTAATTGTAGTTTTGTAGTTAAACATACAAAACTGATGTGATTACTAAATTTTTATCTGTTAATTACGGACGCCCTTGAGGGATATTGACTTATTTCTTAAGTGTTTTGACTTATTTCTTATGTGTTTTGACTTAGTTCTTCTGACTTAACTTTGAATTCTTGTTATTTTGAATTTGTTATGACAAGTTTAGTTAACAAAAAGTGGCGTGAAAGATGGAGGCAACGTATAGTTTCAGAAAAAAGAACAAAGTGTCCTTGAATTAATTACTAACGACAAGATAAAATAGTAGTCATGTTCTTGTCTTCAATCATTATGCAAACTGGAAGTTACATATAACAATTAAGTAATAAATTTTAGAACATAAGAATTAAGTTATGACAACAAAAATATTTACTTTAGAAATCACAACTGTACTGGACGTTAAACTACAATTTGTCAATCAAAAACCACAGTTAAAATAGGACTAAATATTATTTTATTATAAAAGTTAGCCAAGCAACAGATTTTCAATAGCTTTCTTACACTTAGTTGTAACTAACTACGAAACATTCACAACAAATAAGGCAAAACAAAAAAGTTATAACAAATAAGTCATAACAAGTAAGTCAATGTCCCTCCAGGGCTTTCGTACTCCAGGGCTTTAAAAACCTGTTTGAAAATTTGAAAAATTAGATTTTTGAACTAAAATATTAAATTTCAATATACGAAATCAGTTTGAGATTTTGAAAGTTAGAAATTTGAACTAATATATTTACATTCTAAAAATCTAAATCATTTTAGAAATTTGAATTGTTAAGTGTTACACGGACCAATAATTGTGTATTTAAAATTACTAATTATGACATGACGCTATTTTCTAGAATCATACTGGGGGAGGGGGGGGGGGTCAGTCAAAATTGGTTTTCTTAAGTTTGGTTCTTGGGACGGACAAAACGCATGTCAATAAATGAAACCCGATACATACAAATACTTTGTGACAAAATCTCTTAAATTGCACAAAAGACTTACATGTATTACTATTTGGTAACTTGACGTATTTTTATCTAACATTTTACGATCAAAAATCTTCAGAAAAATACTCTAGTAATTGTAAACTAAGTTGATACAGATATTAGTTTACTTAATGAAGACAATGATAAATTGTTTATCAAAAATCTTTATTTTCATCTTTAAGTAAACAGTATTTATCAGAATATCAGTTGTTTTCGCGATTTATGAATGGAAAATATAGACAAAAACTAGTATTTCACTTAATATAAAAAAACCATAAACTGTACACACAAATAAAAAAAATATTGAGAATCTCTATTTCTTAAACAGGTACCCTGGTCGATCAATCAGACCCTGTCATTTTTTCTGCATACAAATCCTCATCTACAAGCGGTGTCAGTATCCGGACAATCATAAGATTGATTCATACGTACATTAACATCGGAAACCACTACCACACAGAAGACGGAATCTTTATTACCGGCCGCCAGGAGGCGGTCGGTTATATGATATGAAAGTTTGAAGTCGCTGTGCGTTTCTGCGGAGTTAAAACAATTTAAATAAAAATATTTAACATTACTATAATAGTATATTAAAAAGAGAGTCTAAATGTTTAACAAGATCACACACTAAACATAAGATTAATTTTTTTATGTAAAGAATGAGGTAAATATTTCATCCAATCCTGATTGAGAAACTTAGACATGTTTGAGGTGTGGAGAAAATTAGGACATGTGTTGGGCATAGTCTAAAGCAAAGACCGCGTTATGTATATTGCTCAATTTTACTTTCTCTATTTAAACAAGATTTGTTATACGTATTTATTTTAAAATGACGTGTACACATGTACATATATAAAAATTTTCAAAAATATGGTTAAATGTTAATTAATCAAAAGACCTAGCAGGCCACAGAATATTACAAGATTTTGCCCTTTGCAGACGAGGATGATGCACGTTTTACAATGTGCCAAGAATTTTCCCGCTATAACTCAAAGAAACTGAAGGAGAAATGTAGTGGCGGATCTAGAGGGAGTTTAGTTTTTCCCTCTAAGAGAGAGCAAGGAGCCCCACATATTTGTTGCGTTTTTATTAAATTAAATCTACACTGCATATTTAGTTGTAGATTACATTAAACTTTAGTTTTAAACTTTTAATAATGTAAATTCCTCTTAATTATACAGGCCCACGGTTTGTTGACGCAGAGGACCAGAGGTACTTTGCGTATATAAACATGTAATACTGAACATGCATTATATAATTAAGAAAATCATGCAATGTCGTGCACAAGCGTTAATTTCACGAGGATATATATATACACAGAAATATAAGATATTTTAAAACAGATCACTATTTCAGTCTTTAGTTGCTTCATGAAAGGAACAATTAATTGGTTTGCGGCCGATTTTTGACGCTTGCGTCAATATATGTTTCTTGTTGCTCCTCAGACAGGCATCTACATGTTCCACTGGACCATAGCTTCAGGAAGCAGTGACTTTTATACCCAGCTAACCGTCAGAGGTACATCTCGTGCGTCGAGTTATGTCCCTCACCCAGGAGGATCAGACTCCAGCTCTGCAATGGTGATTATCAACGTGAACAAAGAGGACCATGTCTGGATACAGATTTACGGATCAGGTGAATATGTCTATGGTGGTAGTATCGGTGAAGGTAACATCCAGTCGACCTTCACTGGAATCCTCCTGAGAAAAACTTAGACTTACACGATTACATTAGGAAGAAAGTCAGCAATCATGTATATCTGCAATAAAATATTTCAGCTGTCAAGGAACATTTTATATTTCAAACATTGAAAGCACTGACTCATAATTCACTCTGGATAATCTAATTAGTTTTTGTGCAGCTTTAAAAAATTGATAAAACTAGCTATTGATGATCGCTATCTGAAGCTGTGAGCCAAACTCCCACCCATTCACCCCAGTATTGATATTTGCTAGAGAAATTAGCCAGGTACAAATTAGGTGCATAATACACAGGCACTTGTTTCTGTAATAAATTTTTGACCCATACTATAGGTCAAAAAATTATTACAGAAATAAGTGCCTGTGGCATAATATGATTCGCTTTATCTCTTTGATACCAGTAACCTTGTATTTTTTTTCTTGCTCCCATTTGTACAATATCTATGGAACTAAAATTTGTATGTAGTAATAAAGCTACGGCGCCGCTGGAGGGCCACGTAAAAATATTTATCATTTCGTACAAATTAGAAGTTCGTTCTTACAAATCCAACTTACACCCATACCTCCATTTCTAAGGAGGAAAATCTTCAAAATCATATCTCTGTTTTTAGATATTTTTAATATTCCCAACAATCAAAATGAATTTCAATTACCATACTGGATTACTGGATTTCTAAACTTCATAAAATACTTACAAACAAGGATACATAGCGGGTTCCAGTAAATGTTCAAGGAAGCACTAGTTAATGTTCAAGCAAGCATCTTTCTTGACTATTTACGAAAATATTTATTGCATGAAGAAGAAACTTCATGAATACTAAATATTTTTTTTTAAATTATCACCTTTATCACCTTCATGTTTTTCGCTCGTCATTTCACTCATCTTCTTTGTTGATTTGAGTGTCAGGACGCTTCAGATTAGTTTATAAATAAGTCATGACCACTTGAGGTCATCCTGTCCCCCTGAACCTGGAAATAAAAAAAACCCAAAGAAATTATACATAAAGCGAGTGTCAAAGATATTTGCAATGCTTAGATTTGTAACTCTGCATAATCTGTCTGAATTTTCTCAAGCAGAGTGATACAGTTCTGCAATTATTACAAAATTTGCACTGTACATGACATATTCCTAACAAAAGCGGTAATCAAAAAACAAGGCAAAGAGAAAAAAAGATTATATACTGGGTGCTACTCCAATTTAGAATGTCTAAAAACTCGCAAGTTTCCACTTCTTTTGGTGTGAATCAGATGTGGATACTTAAAAATTCTAAAGAACTTTTGGACAATTTGAAATCACAAGACTTTACAAAAATCAACAGCTTAAAAACTTACGACTTTTCAACTTTATACACAACAATTCCCCACGACAAATTAAAATCCAGGCTTTTTGATATCATTGACAGCTGCTTCTTCAATAAAAATGGAACTCGTAAATTTACTTACCTCGTCATTGGTCATTTGCAAAATTATTTCTTTTATTTTTTTTCTGATTGCACACATAATTACTCTGAAGTTGACATCAAGAAGATGCTTGAGTTTCTGATTGACAGTATCTATGTGGTTTTTGGAGACCAGGTATTCCAACAATCTATTGGAATTCCCATGGGTACAAATTGCGCTCCGTTATTAGCAGACTTATTTTTATATTCATATGAAGCAGAATTTATGCAAAATCTTATACGTGAAAAGAAGAAAACACTGTGGCCTTCAACTCGACATTTAGATATATCGACGACGTATTGTCAATTAATAATGATAATTTCCATTCCTACGTCTATACGATATATCCTGGTGAGCTTGAGATAAAAGATACCACAGCGTCCGACACTTCTGCTTCATATTTGGATATTTTACTTGAAAAAGACACTAATGGTAATCTAACAACCAAGCTATATGATAAACGTGATGACTTTAACTTTTCTATCGTCAACTTCCCTTACTTATGCAGCAATATACCTTCATCACCTGCATACGGAGTATATATATCTCAGTTGATTCGATACGCAAGAGCATGCTCTACGTACGAACAATTTCTTAAACGAGGTAAATTATTGACAAGCAAGTTGATGAAACAAGAATATTTTCGTTTAAAGTCATTATTTCGAAGTTCTATGGTTGATACAATGACCTTGTCAGCAAATACAATTTATCATTGAGTCAATTGCTGACTGACGTTTTTCATACCAATTGTTAGTCCATTATTTATACACTGAATTGACGACGGATTTTTTCCGTTATTTCCTGATCATAACAACGAGCACACAACGGGTGTGACCGGTCGGCAGGGGATGCTCACTCCTCCATGGCACCTGATCCCACCTCTGATGTTTCCGAGGTCCGTGTTTGCTCTGCTCTGATTTTGTATATTGTTTAATGGACTTTGAGATTGAATACCGTTCGTTATCTCCATATTCTTCTTTTGAAAATTTCAGACTCCCTAAAAGAAGTTTACTTTCAACGCTTAATTGTTTATTCCCACTCCCGAATAGTGATCTGATTGTTCGTTTTCTCTATACAGTTTTTTCCTTATTAAAAAGAAACGATCGATTCTCAAAGAATCAGACTGTTACTATACAAAAATATGTATGTGTGAAACATTTGGAGATAACGAAAAATATTCAAGATAAAAAGTCCATCAAACAATACAAAATAGGAGCACAGCAAAGACGGACCTCCAAAACATCGGAGGTGGGGTCAGGTGCCACGAGGAGTGATCATCCCCTCCCGACCGGTCACAAGCGCCGTGTGCCCCTTTTCATGATTGGGAAATAACGGGAAAATCCCAATTCAGTGTATATAATTGACTAACAATTAGTATGAAAAACGTCTGTCAGCATTTGGCTCAATGATAAATTAGTTTTGCTGACAAGGTCATTGTATCGACCATAGAACTTATAAAATGATAACTTTAAACGAGACTGCTGAAATTTTTGTTTCATCAACTTGTTTGATAATAATTTACCTCGTTTCTAGTGTCTCTTCGACACTGGTTACTTTTAGAACTCTACATAACCACGTTTAAAGTAAATGACCATCTGCAAAAATAGAACATATATAATATACTGCGAATACACAGGGTTCTTTCAAACAGATTTTATTACGTCAAAAATTTTTATTCTGCAACATGAAAAGAGTCGTATTTTCCGAGCCTCTTTCTTTACTCTTCACTGAAATATTCGCAACTACAGGAGAACTGTCCAACAATATATTCGAGAAGTGGTGTAAATCAGATGTGGATACTTAAAACTTTTAATGAACTTTAAGATAATTTGAAACCACAAAATTTATCAAAATAAATAACATAAAAATCGTACGACTTTTCAACACTTTTATAAATAGTCCTCACGATACATTTAAAAACATTGATAGCTCCTTTTTCAATAAAAATGCTGCTCATACAGGGTGTTTCATAATATATGTTACATTCTTAAATCTAATTATTTTTCTTACCTGTCATACTTCTCTGACAAACTATACATCATTTTAAACATAAATCCTGCATTTTTGTTCCATGTGAAAAAATCAAGGAAATCATACTCTTTCAATGATTAATTGTGCTATAAACACCAATATCATAATTTGAATACCTGGGGGATTTCTCGAAATGAACTTGACTTATCCACTCAGTGCTGAATTGTATAGCTGTTTTTTTTTCCCGATTCATGTCGCCACTATTCATTCAAAAGTTATGAAATAAATTTTCTAAAACAAATACAATGGAAAATTTCTATGATGCTTATCAGAAGGGTAGTAACAAGGTTAAAGGACAGGGATGGACAATATGTGATAAATCACACAGTATTCCAGAAAGCCTTAAGACTTTAACAAGCGGAGATTTAGTTGGTGCGTTGGCACCCCTACTAATGTTATTGTGATTTAAATTCAAGACACGTGGTTTAGGTTGATCTATTCAAAGGTTATAGGGTAGAACCGGTTTTATAAATAAAATTGGCAGTAAACATGACATTACTATAGTCTGTTTCGTTTGAAAACATGTCCTGTAATAAATGTTTCCAGACCTTTCTGAAAGACTTTCATGATTTTCAACAGAAAAAGGGTTGCTAAAGGAGGGGGTGTTAAAATAACAATATATCTTATATACTTTTCGGCGAAAATTAGAGCTCACTAGTGACCGATTCGCTGGTAAAAAATGTTCATAATCATCTACACTGACAAACCTTTGTTTGCCTTATATGGCCATTGTTATAAATGCGCACAGAGGATCTTACCACGAGGAACTGACCAATTGTTGAATGAATAGCAACGTTTACGCCAAATACATGTTTACATTTTACTTCCAACACGTAGTTCAGATCAATCTACGATCATGTTCATGGACTGCAAAATAAAAAAAAATGTTCTTACGAACAAAATACAAAGATAAGAAACTATGAAAGATGTTTTTACGGGCATTTTCAATTTGTTGTTAAATGGGAAAGATAGTTTGCGTCTAGTTTAGAACACCAGCACTTCAAGGGTAAAGCTCGTGATCACGTGTTCGGCCAGGTAATTCACCTGACAATTGTATAGTACAACAAAGGAATTAATACAGACGAAAATCGCTTTTGGAGTATGACTTTCAGAAACCTAGACTTCCGCCGTTTATTTAACAAATGAATTGTTTGTCATTATGAGCATGAAAATAATATTTTTAAAAATGCTTTTCATTTACCATTTACCATAATATTTTCTTTTTTTCAAGCTTAAAATTCCTGTAGTATTCGTAGTAACCCATAATGCAATACTCATTCAGCTGATTGGTCAGTTAAAATCATGCTGGTGCCTCATTTGCTAATCTGACGCAAAAAATATAGTCCCGGTCCCCATGCAAAAATATTTGTCCAAAAAGAAATTTTAATTCATGACTGCAGAAAATTGTATTATAGAGAATACTTATTTAAGTTTGAATGAATGTAAGAGAGATTGATTGATTGATTGATTGACGTACATTTCTACAGACATTATCAGCTGATTCTAGGGTGATGGAAACTGAAACGCAACATAACTTTTCTGTTTACCATGCCTCCACGTGCTAGTCACTTCCTAGCCACATTTCCGTGAATAATTTACCCTATCTCGCTGAAGTCTCGCTAACTCTCGCCAGAGCCACTGCCAGAGCTATTCTGAACTCATTGGGTTTCATAATTTGCAGACCACCGAAAAATAAAAGGTTCCGAACACATTAGTAGGGGTGGTTGGAGACTCTTGGTGTAGAAAACTTCTGAGAAAAGTGTCTAATGGATATTTTCAAAAAATTATTCTGGCAAAATCAGCATTTTCAGCATATAATAAACTTTCAAATATGATTTGAAGTTTTCAGCGTACAAATTTTCAATAATGCAAGGAATGATTTTGACCTCTGCATTTGACAATCGCAATCTTTGGGCTCATTTCTGTAGGGGTTCTTAAGGTAAAGGCTCTATAATCCTAGACCACGTATAATGAATGAACTTAAAAGGAACATGGGCATTCAAATGAGTGTCTAAGCAAAAATATGTGACAAGGTTCTATACAAATTTTAGGAAACAACTTTCATTTGTTGTTGAATTAATGGAGATCATTTGGAACATGTAATGTGAGAGTTTGACGTTGTGAAATTCAACGTATCAAAAATGACGCAAATTGGAAATTTTGCCAATTTTCTATAATGTTTAAGATTTTGATCAGTGTTTAATATTTTATTTGGTAATTGTAAATTATGAATCTTATGGATATGTGCATCAGTTTGATAAAAGGACTTATTAATATCTTTTTCTTGTGTTTGTCAAATTGAAGATTCAAAATGTAACATATATTATGAAACACCCTGTAAATATCCACACCTATT